CAAAGAGGGCATCGAGGCAAAGCATCCGACACCTCGATCATCAAAATCGGACCAGAAACACCGGAGATATCACGCCTTGAAGATACCGACTTTCAGGAGGGACTTACAAGGGTGAATTACTCTGGTTTTTCAGTGATGACATATATATATATTGACTTTAATTAAAAGAGGAACTTGAGTTTTAACAAATTGTATAAAAAGTTTTAATTTTGGAGTGTAATTACTAATTTTAAGAAAAATTTTAAAAATCGGTACAAACACGTGGCTCCTGAAAAACACTACTGAAAATTCTGCAAAAAATTAGGGAATATTTCTTAATCTATATATATCATCCCAGAATTATTTAAAAATTTTTCCTTCAATAGTTCACAAATTAGAGCCTTTTTTGCGGTTGTTGGTTTTCATAACACAATTTTCAAAATTTTAAAACTCAAAAATTTTTCAGGAATAAAAATTTACTAATTACAATTTATAATACGGCAACTAATACTCTATTTACATTAATTTTTTCAGAATTTTCGGATAAGTCGTTTTAGAGTTATAAATTTATTTGTGTGAGCTGGGAGGTCCTGAAAACCGCACGATAACTGTGTTTTCAGTTTACAGGAAAACGGAGCCTCCTAGCTCAATTCTGACGAAATTTTCCCTTCGCCCCCCCCCGTCACCCCCCCACACTATCCAGAAGCCGGATAGTCTTCGACCCCCCACCGGATCATTTGGGGTGAATTTCAACCCCCTACCCCTAAGTTGACTTCTGGATTTAGTCTCTGGGGGTTGAAAAACTTAAAATCGTTACAATACATTAACTAGTGCTCCGATTCGGACCGGGTCTTTTGTAAAAATTAATATAAATAAAGATTAACAAATTAGAGGGGGACGGACTCTACATAGAGCGCATAAAATATTTTTTCTGTTTTTGTTTTGTTTTAATTATCATATTTTATTTATTATTAATTTAGAAATTAGGTAACCAAATACGATTTAACCATACAGTCAATAGAGTAAGACTGAAGAGACGACTCTACGTAGAGCAAAGTGGAGTTTGAAGGAAACTACTTTTAAGCATTTTTAACATTTTTTAATATAGATATAGACAAAATTAGGAATAGATAATAAGACCAGACTCTTGGTAGAGCCAAGTTTTTTTTTGTTTAAATAATTTTATCTTACTTTTACTTTTTACTGTACTTTAAAAAAATACGGAGAACTTGGTAGAGCTGGACTCTATCTTATTTTACTTTTGACTAGTTTTATCTCATAGGTGACACAGACCCCCTTTTACAGGGCCTAGCAAATACTTTACACACAGACCCCCCTTTACAGGGTCTAGCAAATATTTTACACACGGACAACTTTCCCCGATTCACATAACTTACACTATACACCTAACTCTTACACATCCACACAAAACCATGTACCGCACACCCACGACCTCTGGCGCTGCCAAAAAAGCTCACCACCCCCAGCCCTGCCGCCACAACCGCAGCAGTACAGGATGCCGCCAGAACATTCATTAAAAGGCCGGAAGCCAAAAGAAGATCGCTCGACAATATGGACATCTATAAAAAGCAAAAACATAACTACGCTGCATTGCCGAGCGATCAGCTCCTCCAGGAAATGATGAAAACCTTCGAGGATATACCCTCAAAGGTTCAGGAGTACCCTCAGATGAGGAAAGATATCAAACATTTCCTGGAGGTGCAGTCAGACAAGGGCATAAGGGCAATCTTCGAGCTCAGCAGACGCATACAAAGCCTCGAAGCAGACGCCCCAAAAATAGGATCACCTACAAAAATCTTGGCTTCCGAAGGGCAAGATATTATCATAAAGAAACTGGGAGAGGTGGAAGCGACACTTGCAGGGCGTATAAACGAGTTGGAGCAAGGTCTGAAAACAGACATAGAGAGACTCCATAACAGCAACGACGACCGAGGCTCTGACATGATCGACAAGATCATCGATAGGATCGATGAAACCGGAGCTGCCATAAACGAAACGACCGAGAAGGTCGAAAGTCGAACGCATGCTCTGGTTAAAGATCTGATCGGTGGTATTGCCGATGATGTCATAGCAGCCAAAAAAGATCTCATGGAGGTCACAAAAGGACTGGTATGCAAAATAAACACAGCGCCAGTCCTTAAGTCATACGCTAGCGTCGTAGCAGCCAAACCAGTTCACCGCCCTGCACTTCACTCAATGGCGGTCACCCTCGAAGGTGGTCTGGAGACTGCTGACGAGGTGCTCGCCAGGGTGAAAAAAGCTGTCGACGCCAGAGGTACTGGCCTTAAAATCAACAAGGTTCGCAAGGCCAAGAATCAAAAAATTATATTGGGCTGCGACACGGAAGAGGAGAGGATGAAAGTCCAAAAAATAATAGAGAGTCGCGGCGATGGACTAAAAGTAGCGCATATAAAAAATAAAGATCCTCTCGTCATCCTGAAAGATGTCTTTATGGACAGTGAAGACGAAGAAATAATAAAGGCGCTCAATGCTCAAAACAAAGACGTTTTCACTGGCTTAACTGAAGAAGACATGGAAATGGCCATAAAATTTAAGAAACGAACAAGAAATCCGAAGTCAATGCACATCATTCTTCAGGTGAAGCCTAAAGTATGGCAGAGGATGACGGAGGCTGGAGCCCTCTATCTGGACCTTCAAAGGGTAAGAGTCGAGGACCAGTCCCCGCTCATCCAATGCACGAAATGCCTCGCTTTTGGACATGGTCGGAAATTTTGCACCGAGAGTGTGGACAGATGTAGTCACTGTGGAGGACCGCATCTCCGCGAGAGATGCGCAGACTTTTCCGCAGGGAATGAACCACAGTGCTGCAACTGCTCACACTCTGGGTTGCGGAGGACCGACCATAATGCATTTAGTTCAGACTGCCCTGTACGAAAAAAATGGGACTACTTGGCTCGTGCAAACACGGCCTATGCCTGAACCATTTATGACAAATTACACTACACATACAAGCAGCTACAAAGCACACAGGAACATTAACACGACACACACAAACATGAAATACACGACAAAATGAACACAACTGATATACAGAATGTATAATAAAATATACACGATTATATCAGCACAGTAACACTTACATGAATCACAAAACTAACACAACACAAAAGAAAAACAGCATGAAGTAAAACTAGCAAAAGAAATGGACAATATATATATATATAATTTAGTATATATATTATATTGCCTAGGAAAAGCGTGACTAAAATATAGAAGGATGTATAAAATTAGACACATGACAGAAATTCACCAATCCTGATATGTGCATAACTATTAAGACCTGTGAAATTGTCAATTGCAAATGTTAAAAATAAATAGACATAAGTTTTACTGCTCTACAGATAATAAATATAAGAATAGAATTAAAAAACGGCAATGAAAAAAGTTAGAAATAAGATGATAGAAAATAGTAAGTATATATTGATATTAGACTTATAAGTGTTAAAATAGAACTAAGAAATAAAACTCGTAGGAACTAAGAAATAATAATAAGTACAATAGTAGTAAGACAATAAATATGTAAACTAAGGAAATTGTAAGTTAAATAAAAATTAGCAAGTAGAGTGTAGTGTAGAGTTTTGTAAGCTTAAATAATATATATATATATATATATATATATATATATATATATATATATATATATATATATATATATATATATAAAGTGTAAATACTATTGAAGATATAACAGAAAATAAATAAAATGTACGAAATTTATTTTCCCAAAGAAAAGAAATATTAGGCATAGAGTAGCGGGAGTCCCACCCGGCAAAGAATGAGCGTGGATGGATAAAAGAAAGATTAAGTATGCGGCCTGAAAGTGTGAATACATGCGAGAACTGGAATGTATGAGTAAACTAGATTAATAAGGACCCGATGATCCCATGATCGGGGAAAAGCGAAAAAAAAAAAAAAAAAAAAAAAAAAAAAAAAAAAACCTAACCTAACCTAACCTAACCTAACCTAACCTAACCTAACCTAACCTAACCTAACCTAACCTAACCTAACCTAACCTAACCTAACCTAACCTAACCTAACCAACTATTCAACTAACTAAATTCGCTAATAACTTTCCCAAAAATTGGTATTTTTCGTTCAAATCTTCTTTAAATTGTGTAGTTAATTGATCCCCATATTTGATTATATTTTTTTTAGTAAATTCTTAACGTTATATATTTAATTTTCATATTTTCCGTCTATTATTTACTTAAATTCAACAATAAAAACACGTATTCATCCATTGCTCGGCTGAAAATTGGCCTTTTCCTCTTAAATTTTCTATTTAAATAGTGTAACTAACTACCCCCCGTATTCCTGTATAATTTTCTTGGTAAATTCCTAACGTTATATATATAATTTTCATATTTTCCGTCTCTTAATTACGTAAATTCATTAATAAAAACACGTATTCATCTATAACTCGGCTGAAAAGTGGCCTTTTCCGTTTAAATTTTCTTTTTAAATAGTGTATTTAACCGCCCCCCCGTATTTATCTATAGTTTTTATAGTAAATTTCTGTCGTTAAAATATTGATTTTCACAAAATTCGTTTTCCTATACTCGTAATTTCCTAAAATTTTTAAAAATTTTCAAATCTTCCTTTCTTTCGCTCTTTTTGCTTTTATTAGGTCCATACTGTGTAGAAACTACCATCTGCACTCTTATTTGCTTTATAAAACATACAGAACTGGAAAAAATCGCCCTCCCACTCTCCCTGTTTTTCTTACTTAAGTAGGCTTGCAGGAATCTATATCGATTTTTTTTATGTACATCGATTTTTTTTTATTTAATTTATATCTATTTTATTTTTTTATTAAACCCGTAAATAAAAACAATAAGCTTAGACAAACATCGACTCCCCACCCTCCCGGTTTTCATTGCAGAAGTAGATTTTGCTACTGCATTTTAAAATCATACTTGTTTCTCTTTATTACCGTCAGTTTTGTTAGTTGATCATTTAGGAGGCAAAGTTTAAATAAAATGGCGTGCACAGATACTGAAACTGGTGGCATCGCAAATGAAAATTCACCCTATCATAGGATGCCTACTTCTGCAAGCATTCTCGAAGGCCTTAATTCAATAACCACTATAGCGAATAACATAATCACAACCATATCGGCTGGCAGAAGTGTGACATCAGACAGCAAAAAAGCGATTATAGAAATGGCGCATGATATTAACAGAATCATAAGAGAAACACAAATAAAAACTGAATATACGGCAAGTATTATAGAGGTTAAAGAGTCGCTGCAAAATACTATTAAGGAAGAGATTTCCAAACTCTCGATACGCACTCAAACCAAATCCTATGCGAGTGTTGCTTCTACTCCTCGTCCTCCGCTGAGCAATCCAGCACCCACACATGCATCAAAACCGGCTATTATTGTCACTCCTACTAATAAAGTTAATTCTCGACAAGAAGTTATCGAATCATGGCGCAAGAGTATCTGTTTTAAGAGTTGTAATTATGCACCCTCCAAATTGCAAGTCATATCAAATAATAAACTTCGAGTAGAATTCGATACATGCTCCCAGAGGGACGACGCTTTAGAACGTTTGAAATCTGCTACAACAGTTAACGCTGAAGCCGCGCGCAAAATGAACCCTATGGTCATCTTAAAGGGCTTATCAAATGACGTCCCATCAGAAGAGTTAGTCAGTATCATCACAGGGCAAAACGACGAATTACGGGACCTCATAAATAATACGGACGACGCTCTTTGCTTACGTTTTAAGAGGAAAAACAAAAACCCTAAATTATATAACGCAGTTTTCTTATGCAATCCTACGATATGGCGCAAAATAATGGATTCCGGAAGAATAAACGTTGATCATCAACGTATACATGTCGAAAATTTTTGCCCATTTATTCAGTGCTTTAGCTGTCTTCAGTTTGGACACGTTCAAGGCAAGTGCACCAATAATATCCATCCCTGCTCGCACTGTGCAGCAGGAAATCACACATACACAAACTGTCCAAATAAGGCGAATAAATCGGCTACTACGTGCTACAACTGCCAAATGCATAATAATAAGTTCAATACCAAATTTGACACACAACATGCAGCAACTTCCTTTTCCTGTCCTAGAGTCAAAGCCATGAAAGAGCGTATAAACCAGCGAATCGACTATGGATCAAACAAATAAAATGAAAATAATTCAGTGTAACATAGACCGATCCAAAAGCTGCCAACAAGAATTTTTACGATACTTTGCTGCAAACGATTACTCTATAGCAATAGTCTCAGAACCATATTTAGGAACCAAACAAGAAATTAAATCAATACAAGGCCTTTGCATATACCAATTCCCAGGTGACCAAAAAGTCAAAGCTTGCATAATAGCTAAAAATAATTGTGGAACGTTAATAGGTATGACACAGTTTTCAACTTCTAACCTCTGCGTTGTCCAAATGACAATAGGCACAAGGAAATTATATATTGCATCAGCATACGTTGAGCCCCGAGACGATGAACACGTAACACTTGAGCGCTTAGACGCCTTTCTTAAATCAACCAATGACTCTCATCGTATAATATGTGGCGATTTTAATGGTTGGCACCCACTATGGGGTTGTGAAACAACTAACAAAAGAGGTCGCGAAGTGGCGGAACTTATAATAGGAAATGATATGTATATTTGCAACCAAGGAAGCATCCCAACGTTTGAAACCGTCACACATGGTAGAAATTGCTCCTCTATTATCGACATAACTTTTGCCTCAGGGTCTATATACGAGAAAATAAATAGCTGGAATGTTAACCTGGAGGCTTGTCCCTTATCTCAACATAATTCCATTGAATTTACGCTCAACCTATTTAACGTTAACACCACAAAAAGAAAAAACACATCCACATATCTGTATAAAAGTGAAAAAGCTAACTGGGCAGAGTTTAAGGCAGTCTTAGACCTCAAAATGTGCAATAACGGATGCCTAGACGTAGATATTCCCACATTAAATACCAACGAATTAGAATCCTTTATTACAAAAATTATCAGTACAATCCATGAAGCTTGTCGAGCATCCATGCCAATGAAGAACAACGTCACCCAATGTAAACCCATATGGTGGACAGACAAATTGGAAAAACTGAAAAAAAGATGTTATCTCCCTCCATCATAAAATTTGTAGGTGTGCTGCGCACACACATGTAAACTTCGCAATGTTGTATTGTAACTATATTATGTAGTGAATAAGATTTTTCAACCAGTCACTAGTTGCCCGCCAACAGTATGGCACGTTCCGCTATAATAAATATATTAGTAAAAGATTTCATCTTTCATTGTGGTCACCAATAGGCACCCATATGGAGTCAGCTCCTAAACTGGTGACCCCGACGTGATCAAGATGACCGAAGTGGTCTATGTGATGTTAATGCAGTAGTGGGCAATATTCGCGTGGTTGTGATCGGTGGACAATAGATATAGTAACATGAGTGCGCCGTTTCCGCCTACGTCACAGAACGTGCCGCCTGTTAACGTGCCACCCGTTCAAGACATCCAGCCACCTGCGCAACCGCCCATTATGGCGCCAGGTGTAGATACAGTGTCCCTACAGTCTCGCCTCGCAGACTTTTGGACGGACCAGCCACGCGTATGGTTCGTACGCACGGAAGCTATCCTCGCACCTCAGAGGTTGAGTGATGAGGCGAAGTTTGACCTGGTCGTGTCTAAGCTAAGTAAGGAGGTTATCGCGCAAGTGACGGACATATTACTCAACCCGCCTCCTACCTACAAGTACGACGCACTCAAAGCTCGGCTACTTCACATCTATGAGGAGTCAATGTCGAGGCAGATCGAGAAGCTTATGAGCGAGCTAGAGCTGGGCGACCAGAAACCATCTCAGCTGCTTCGGCGGATGCGTGAGCTCGCTACTGACAAGGTTCCTGATGAAACCCTTCGCGTTTTGTGGCAGGGTCGTCTTCCGACACAAGTCCGAGCCGTGCTAACTGTGTCCGACTCCAAGGACCTGGACAACCTAGCAGCAGTTGCAGATAACGTCATGGAGGCTGTGCGGCCTTCCTATGCCGCCACCGCTACTTACACCGTGCCAGCGCCAGCATCTACTACCGCCTATGACTTAGCCCTGTTGAGAGCTGAGGTGGCTAAAATAAAGGCTACCGTGGACAGGATCGATCAGCAGAGGTCGCGGTCCCGCGCCCCTGATCGCAACCGGCGTCGTTCACATTCCAGGAGACGTAGCAGTCCCTGCCGTCCCCGGAAGGAGAACTACTTATGCTTTTACCATTACAGGTTCCGAGAAAAGGCCAACAGGTGTACGAAGCCTTGCGCGTGGAAAACAACACAGCCGGAAAACTGAGCAGCGAGGTACAGTCCGAGGGTCTTCAGGTCTGTACCGTTTTTCCATTCAATCGTTTGTGTGTGTCAGACAGTAACTCCGGACTTAGATTTTTAGTTGACACCGGTGCCAATGTGTCTGTTTTACCAGCCGTGAGAAAAGATCGTCTAAATCAGTGTAGTGAATATAAATTATACGCAGCTAACGGCAATGAAATCGCAACTTACGGTACCAAGACAATAGTGTTAAACTTAAACTTACGCCGACCTTATCGTTGGGAATTCGTTGTAGCAGATGTCAAACAACCAATTTTGGGCGCCGATTTTTTAGCGTACCACAAACTATTAGTTGATTTAAACGCGCGTAAATTAATAGATAAAACTACAGAATTGAATGTTTCGGCATCTGTTGTCAATGTATCTCAACCTAGTGTTAAAACTATTGATGTAAATCATCCATATCAGGATTTATTGTTAAAGTATCCGGACATCACTAAACCAGCGTCATTCCGAGAAACTGCGAAACACGATGTCGTCCACTATATCGAGACGTCTGGCCCGCCCGTGCACGCGAAAGCGCGCCCGTTGCCACCTGACAGGTATAAAAAAGTTAAAGAAGAATTTCGCATCATGCAAGAACTGGGCATCTGTCGTCCTTCAAAGAGCGCGTGGGCTAGTCCGCTCCATGTAGTTCCTAAAAAGAATGGAGATATAAGACCTTGTGGGGACTATCGCCAGCTGAATGCGATAACAAAGCCCGACAGATACCCGATTCCTCGCTTGAACGATTTTACTTTTATTCTTCCGGATAAAAAGATATTTTCAAAATTAGACATCAATAGAAGTTATCATTTTATACCTGTCGCACCAGGTGACGTGGAGAAAACCGCTATCATAACACCATTCGGACTTTTCGAGTTTCCTCGAATGACCTTCGGTTTGCGCGGAGCAGCACAAACCTTCCAGCGCTTTATGAACTCCATTTTACAAGGTCTTGATTTTGTTTTTTGTTATTTAGACGACTTACTTATAGCTAGTGACAACGAAGTTCAACACAGGCAACATTTAGAAATTATTTTTAAAAGGCTTAATAAATATGGAATTTCAATTAATTTGGCAAAATGTCGTTTCGGACAAACTAAACTAGAATTTTTAGGACACGAGATTAGTACCGACGGCGTCAGGCCGTTGCAAGATAAGGTTCAGGCAATTGTGGAATTTTCGAAGCCGAAAACTGTTGCAGAACTAAGACGTTTTCTCGGTATGGTCAATTTTTATCGAGCTCATCTTCCCAACGCAACTTTATATCTAACAGAATTAAATAAATATCTTAAAAGCTCAAAGAAAAATGATAAGACTCCCATCGTCTGGACGGATAGTGCGAACGAAGCATTTACGCAATGTAAGGCAGGTCTCACACAGGCCGCTACATTGACGTACCCTAGAGTGGGTTCCGCACTCGCTTTAATGACTGATGCATCTAATACATGCGTGGGAGAAGTCTTGCAACAAAAGGAAGGAGATAGCTGGAAACCATTGGGCTATTTCTCAAAAAAATTGACCACCACCCAACAGCGATATAGCACATACGATCGCGAGTTGCTCGCTATATACTTAGCTATAAAACATTTTCGGAAATTATTTGAAGGGCAAGAAATAACCGTGTATACGGACCATAAACCTTTAACTTTTGCATTTCAAAAGGTAGGACGCGATGAAAGCGAAACGCCTCGGAGAACGAGACATTTAGCTTTCATAAGTGAGTTCACTACAAATATAAGACATATAACCGGTACGAATAACATCGTAGCTGACACCTTATCGCGCATCGAAGCCGTGACTATGCCAACTGCGTTGAATTTCGATGACATTGCAAATGAGCAGCGTAGCGACAGTTATATCATGAATGTTATGTCTGGTTTAAATACCGATAATATTTTGTTAAAGGAACTAGTTATACCTATGTTAAATAAGTCTATTTTTTGTGAGATGTCTACTGATACAGCTCGTCCGTACCTACCGGAAAAGTTTCGACGCCTAGCTTTTGATAGTTTACATAATTTGAGCCATCCTGGAATTCGTTCTACGCGAAAGATGTTAGCCAAAAAGTATTTCTGGCCTAGTATGAATCGTGATGTTTCTTTGTGGGCAAAAACGTGCATACAATGTCAACGTTCTAAAGTTAACAGACATACGGTATCGAATCTGACTAAGTTTCCGGAAGTAGAGCGTTTTGAGCATGTGCACGTCGATATCGTTGGCCCTCTTGAGATCTCACCAGATGGTTATAGATACTTACTCACGATAATTGATAGGAGGACCAGGTGGCCTGAAGCTTTTCCGTTACGAGACATTACGGCAGAAACTGTTGCCAAACATTTATATGAAGGTTGGATTTGTCGTTACGGTTGCCCGATAAAGTTAACTAGCGACCAAGGTCGCCAGTTTGAGAGTAGTCTTTTTAACCAGCTGTTAAAAATGTTGGGGGTTAATAGAATTCGAACTACTCCTTATCATCCGCAAAGCAATGGCGCAGTTGAACGTTGGCATCGTTCTTTAAAAACAGCACTTTCAGCTCGCCTGTCACATGGGTCCTGGGTGGAAGAGCTACCCACAGTATTACTTGGGCTTCGCGCGGCCGCCCGCAGTGACTCAGGGGTTAGCGCCGCCGAGTTAACGTTCGGACGAAACTTACGTCTACCGGGAGACTTTTATGACGGCTCTTCGAACAACCGTAACGTCAATGATTATTGTTTAGTGGATAAGATTAGAGATACTATTCGTAGTTATAAGCCTACATCCGACGATTCACGTAACTGTCATAGTTTTTTTGTGCACAAGGACTTACGTAACTGTGAATATGTCTTTGTTAGGGACGATTCAATACGTAAACCTTTGAAACCACCCTACGACGGTCCATACCGCGTGATAAAAAGGGGCTCAAAAGTTTACCTAATTCAATTACCCGATAGACAGGTACATATTTCTATCGACAGATTAAAGCCTGCATATGTATTAAAGGAATGTGATGGTAACGAAGCAACGCCACGCCAAAGTAACGCTGACAACGCAGCGGATGTGGCACCTGCGCATGTACGGTTTCCGTTACCACCGTCCACACCGCTGACGTCGTTGTTACCCGGCCCGAGCAACCCGATAACCGTGAAAACAACGCGAAGTGGTCGGATTGTTAAGTTACCTTCACGATTTATAAGCTAGTGTTAATATAAAATATATATTATACAATTACATGTCTAAATGATAATCAAGTTTAGTTACTATGGATGTGAAAGTATTATTTGCATTGTCAAGTGCATAATATTTTCATTCAGGATATTCAAGTTACATTATTTAAGTTGAATGTAATTGTAGAGGTATCGTGTTCAGTATTTTGCGTATACTGCACTTTCATATAGGTTCCAGGTAGCTAGTTTAGTTATAATGTATTTAATATAATTTCATTCGAAATACTTCCTTTGCGATAGCATTAGCGCGATAAGTTTTACGATTTTTACTATGGGTAATTTTCAAGAAAAACCAGTTATTGTTTCTCAGGCTCAAAATACTGTAGAGAATAAAGTGGATAATTTTCAAACATGGTTATATGTGATAGCCAGTTTTATGGGGGCGATAATCCTGTACACTATTTGGGTAAAGTTTAATAAGAAGTTCAAAAGCTGGCTTCGTCATCAGGTGTTAATGACAGGCGTTCCGATATCGGGCCAGAATATGGGTCAGATGATAGGTGCTTCTAGCACCAGTCTGCAGCATGTGCCCGCGCCCGCCGCGGCCGCCACCCCTTTCGCGGGGGTCTCCGTACAGCCCTGCGCACAAGCGCATTAGCAAGTTTTGTTGTTAGTTTTAAGTTTATATTCATTGTATAGTTTTAAGTTTTTTGTATTCATTTTTTGTAAAGGGGGAAGTATTGTAGGTGTGCTGCGCACACACATGTAAACTTCGCAATGTTGTATTGTAACTATATTATGTAGTGAATAAGATTTTTCAACCAGTCACTAGTTGCCCGCCAACAGTATGGCACGTTCCGCTATAATAAATATATTAGTAAAAGATTTCATCTTTCATTATGGTCACCAATAGGCACCCATATGGAGTCAGCTCCTAAAAATTCATCATACCAAACGCAAAGGGCTTGCCCTGGACCAACTGTTAGAAGAAAGAAATAGAAAAAAGAAAGAGTACGGGGATGAGCTGCGGAGAACATCAACAGATAACTTTAGAGAATTCTGTGAACGGCAAGGTAAGGAGAATGTTTGGTCAGTGACCAACAGACTTTTAAAGGAGACAAAGTCTAATTGCTCACCGAGTACTCTAAAAGTAGGAAACAGCTATAATAATGATGAAAAAGAAACCGCAAAGGCACTAATAAATCATTTCTACCCTGAAGACAGTCCAGACCCTAATCCCGCACATGAACAACTCAGGAAAAATCGCGAACTATTTCCAAAAACAAATGACGACCCTCCCTTTGTTAAAGAAGAAGTTATAGAATGCATCCAAAACATGAATCCCAAACGAGCTCCTGGTATCGATAATCTAACAGCCGATATTTGCACTCAATTTTCTATAGCCTATCCAAAACTTATAACAGAAATAATGAACAGATGCTTGTCCCTCCAATATTTTCCACAACAGTGGAAAATCGCATACGTTAAAATCATTCCGAAACCCAATAAATCTGATTGTACTAATTTAAACTCTTTCCGCCCAATAGGTCTTCTTCCCGTGTTTGGCAAATTACTTGAAAAACTTTTCATAAATAGAATCAAATACCAGGCTACACGAGATGGCAGAATGAGCAACCGACAGTTTGGTTTCAAAGAGCAACTTAACACAACTGCAGCTATTGCCAATGCCATAAAAACCATCCAAAAAGCTAAAGAGAATAAACAACAGGTAATAGCCAATCTCCTTGGATATCAAGGCAGCGTTTGATAACGCTTGGTGGCCCGCCTTACTTCACAGACTGCGATACATTCAGTGTTCTCGTAACATCTTCGGATTAATATGTAATTATATAGAAAATAGGAAAGTATCACTGAACTACGGAGGTACTGAGGTCACCAAAATGATGTCTAAGGGATGTATACAGGGATCAACTTGTGGACCAACTCTTTGGAATCTAATTCTCGACGAACTTTTGGAAACTCAGTTGCCAACAGGTTGTCACATCCAAGCCTTTGCGGACGATGTATTGCTTATTGCACACGCACACGATAAAAACGAATTAGAAGTTATTACTAATCAAGCACTAAGCGAAATTGTACAATGGGGAGATAAAGTCAAACTCTCTTTTAGCCCTGAAAAGACACAGGCAATCGCTTTCACCCCAAAAGCCAAGTCAGTTAATTTAATGATGAACAAAATATTGCTTCCGTTTGTTAAAGAAATAAAATTATTAGGGGTCATCGTAGATACAAAATTAACTTTCAACAGTCACATTAAATATGTTACAAATAAAGCCATAAAAATATTTCACAAACTGTGTATTTACTGCAGACCAACCTGGGGTATTCAACCTGAAAATATAAGCATTATTTATCACCAAGTTATCGAACCTATCATCACATACGCTGCTGGTGTTTGGGGCCATGCTGCAAAGAAAAAGAGTTGCAAGCGATTGTTGGAAAAAACACAACGCTTGTTTGCGCTCAAAGCCATCCGAGGCTTCCGTACAGTCTCTACGAATGCTGCGCTAGCACTTTCCCAGTTCATGCCTTTAGACTTAAAAGTTACAGAAATAAATCAAATAGAAAACACTAGAAGTTCCGGAATCACCCAATATCTACCCGATGATATAACCCTTGAAAAGCCCACACCGATTCAAAATCTTCTACATCCAGCTCTCAGAGTTAAAATAGTGCCAGACAGTTTACAAACTTCAGAAGAAGACCCAAACAATTTTACACAACCAATTAATATATACACAGACGGAAGTAAATTGGAGAACGGAAGAGTGGGCGCCTCTTTTGTAGTTCTATCGAAAAATAAATATACAATAACCAAAAAATTTAAATTACATGATAGCTGCACTGTATTTCAGGCAGAGCTTTTTGCCATCGATAGAGCTTGTACGTGGTCTTTGAAGAGAAATATCAAAAAATATAAAAATTTTCACAGATAGTATGTCATCAATTCAATCAATATGTAACCGCAGTAATACTCACCCAATAGTTGCAAATATTCATAAAAACATAAAGAAAATAAGAGAAGATGGAACAGTCGATATAACATGGGTAAAAGGTCATGCAGGCTCTGCCGGAAATGAAGCAGCTGATGCAGCTGCAAAAAGCGCAGCCAACTTAAAGAAAAATTTTGATTATACAAAATTTCCCATAAGCTTTGTTAAAGCAAAAATAAAAAAAGACAACCTCTATAAATGGCAAAACCGATATCACAGTGCACCACAAGGGAAACATACAAAAGAGCTCTTACCGGACCTGTTTTCCATTAAACGACTTTGGCAAACAACAAAAATTGACTTTAAATTAACCCAAATTCTCACAGGTCATGGTTTCCACAGAGAATATTTATATAGATTTAAGATTTCAAACACAGACACATGCCCTTGCAATAACCATAGTGTACAAAATATTGACCACCTTTTGAAAAGCTGTCCCAGATTTGGTGCACAGCGCATGGAACATGAATTACACTGTCAGATGCTTAAAGTCTCTCCATACAACATACAGGAGCTTGTAACAAAAGAAGGTGCAATAATATCGTTTGTGAAGTATGCTAGTTACATAATCGATAAACTGAAATCATTCAACAGTATATAGTAAAAATATTTAAAATAAACGAGTTCTAATTGAAATTGTGAATCACAAAAGTAATAGACTTAAACTGAAACATGCTAGGCAAAAGGAATTGTATCCCATTCGCAATTCCGGCCGATCATGTAGTGAATTTCCTATGCGTATCAGTCCCGCAAGCGAACCAACGTATTAAAAAAAAAAAAAAAAAAAAAAAACCTAACCTAACCTAACCTAACCTAACCTAACCTAACCTAACCTAACCTAACCTAACCTAACCTAACCTAACCTAACCTAACCTAACCTAACCTAACCTAACCTAACCTAACCTAACCTAACCTAACCTAACCTAACCTAACCTAACCTAACCTAACCTAACCTAACCTAACCTTTTTTTTTTTTTTTTTTTACGGGGGGGAAATCCTCATGGACTGCCTCTGCCTGGGGACAGGCGGAGGGGTGTGCCGGACTCTTACCGGCTAAAACCACCCCGGTGTCTCCTCGCACGTGCACGCGCGGGGCCGCGGGAATCCAAATTCTTCCGCAGCCCCACACTAGTGCTGGCCCGGTCTGTACGGGCCTCGTCTCCTGCACGGGGTAGTGAGGTGTTCAACTACCCCCTGTATCACCTCAGAGGCACGCGCCGACACCCACGCGTGCCTCCGCCTCGGGTCCATCGAATAGGGGGGCGGGGGCTTCCCCTAGTCCCTCGCCCCTGGACTTATTCATGGGGGCTGGAAAAGGGCGTTGTCCGCCCTTCTCCTGCGCCCGGTGCGCCTTCTGCGGCCAGGGAAGGGAGTCGAGATCTCCCTCTCCCGTTCCGCAGTTTCCTTCTGCGACATCACGTCCTCACAGAAGGACACCACTGCATCCCACGATTCTGCGCTACCGACCATACTCCGCACCAAGGCCGACAGCGACAAATCGCCTCCTACTACATTTGTGAGGACACGGCGCTGCTCTTCCCAAGCTACACACTCGGCGAGCGTGTGTTGCGCCGTGTCCTCCCCGCAATGGACGCAGTGGTGGCACCGAGCGTCCGGCTCCCTGTCTATGCGGCACAGGTACTTGCCAAAGCAGCCGTGCCCCGACAGCACCTGCGTCACCCTAAACGACAGGGAGCCGTGCCTTCTCCCGAGCCAGTCGTCGAGTACTGGCCGGATCGCCTCAACGATAGCGAGGCCGGCGGTAGGGCGCAGAAGCCTTTGCCGCCATTCCGCCACCAAGACCTGACGGAGCTCCTCTCGGCGCAGCGCGATCTGTCGCTGCACCGGCCTCGAGCCCCGTCCCCGCTCTTCCTCGCGCCATCGATATAGTGACGCGAGTACTTTTGCCTCTAGGTCCCAGGGCGGGGATCCGGCCAGGACGCAAGCCGCCTCGTAGGAAATCGTGCGATACCCGCGGGTGACTCTGACGGCCATCGCTCTCTGCGGTTTGCGCAGAATGGCGAGAGTGCTGGCCGTCATGTCCATCGCCCATACAGGGGCCCCATACAGGGCCATGGACCGCACGATTCCCACGTACAACCGCCTACAGGCAGCGCTCGGGCCCCCCAAGTTGGGAAGCAGCGTTGAAAGTGCGCCAGCTGCACGCATCAGCTTGGGCGCCAGCCGCCGGAAGTGGGGCCCAAATTCCCATCGGCTGTCGAGCACCAATCCCAGGTACTTCATGGTGGACTCGACAGCTATCCGGGCCCCGCCGACCACGATGTGCGATCCCGGTGGCGGCGCGCGTCGAAGGCCATGAAACACCATGGCCTCTGACTTGTTAAGGGCCACCTCCAGGCCCAGGCACCGGATGCGGTTCACCACTTGTGAAACCGCAGCCGTGGCAACCAACGCTGCTTCCCTGTGCGAGCTCCCCCGGGCAGTGACGAGCGTGTCGTCCGCATAACAGGTCAAGTCAGCGCCCGACGGGAGCTCACCTCTCAGCACCCAGTCGTAGCCGATGTTCCACAGGAGCGGTCCCAAGACCGATCCCTGCGGAACACCGCACGACATGACGCGTCGACCAGCGCTGTCACGTCCCCAATACGTGACGCATCTCTCCTCAAGGTAGGCCCCTATTGTGCGGCGGAGGTAGGGAGGCACGCGATGGTAATTAAGCGCCTCCCGAATACAACTCCAGGGTAGGGTGTTGAAGGCGTTGGAGATGTCTAATGACACCGCCAGCACCACCCCACCCCGGGATACTGTCTCCTCCGCCAGGGCCCTCACGCGCGTAATAGCGTCTATGGTGGAGCGCCCGCGACGAAAACCAAACTGGTTCTCGTCCAGGTCTGGCCCCACTCTGCACAAGTGGCTGACGAGGCGATCTGCGATGATACGCTCAAGAAGTTTGCCCGCCTCGTCGAGCAGCACTATGGGCCGGTACGCGGACGGTGAGTCCGCGGGGCGCCCCCCTTCCTGAGTAGGACCAGCCTTCCCTCCTTCCACACACTGGGAAGCTGACCCTGCTCGAGACATGCCGTGAAGAGCCCCCTCAGCTGGGGCTCCAGCTCCTTCAGAGCCAGGACGAGAGCTCGACCAGGAACTCCGTCGGGTCCGGGCGCTGTGTTCTTGGCCCGAAGTCGCGCCATGGCCGCTCTCATCTCTGCTTGCGTCACCTTGGGGACATCGGTGCTCTCCTCCTCTGGAGAGTCTGTGGCTGAGGGCGAAGCCATCGCCGGGGGAACGTGTCCCACTCGTTCAGGGAAGAGAACTGATACCACCGTCTCTAGCAACTGGGGTTGCATTGTTTGCGTTAGTGGGGGCGCCCAGGAACGCAACTTGCCCCGTACCCAACGGTAGGGGCGCCCCCACGGATCCCGATCTAGGGACCCCAGCAGCTCCTCCCTGGCACGCGACTTCGAGTCGCCGATGGCCAGCCACAGAGTCTCCTTAGACGCGCGGTACACCTCATACAGCGCGTCCTCCTCGGCGGAATCCCGTCGACGCCGTCTCCGGTATCGGGTGTACCGGCGTCGGGCCGCAACGCACGCTATGCGCAATTGCGCGATCTCGGCGGTCCACCAGTACACCTGGTGCCTTGCGGACCGTTGGCGGACACGGGGCATGGACGCGTCACAGATCTGCGTCATCGCCCCGCGAAACCATAGCGCCACTGCTTCGACGTCGACGGTACTGTCCGTTGCCGACTCCCAGATCCAGGACTGGACTAAGGCAGCTTCCTCGAGTAGTTCCCTGTCGATGCGCTTAAGCGCCCAACGCGGACCGTCGTTAATCGGGGTAGTTGGATGGCGGCCTCTCGCAGTCTGGGCAGAGACGTCGAACCGGATATACCGATGGTCCGACAACGTCTCCACCCCTACGGCGACACGCCAGTCGCGGACTCGGCTGGCGACAGAGGGGCTGGCAAACGAGACGTCCACTATCGACCCGCCCCGCTGCCGCACGCACGTGTATTCCGAACCCCGATTCAGGACGACCAGACCAGTTGTCACTGTCCACTCTTCTAGCACCTCGCCCCGAGGATCAGTGACCGGAGATCCCCACGCTGATGACTTTGCGTTGAGATCCCCGAGCACCAGAACGGGACGAGGGTGATAGCGGCCTACGACGGCGCCCAACTCGACAAGGAAACCCTCAAAGTCGGCGAGACTCTTGTTGGGGGAGAAATACGCCCCCACAATAACGATACCACCCGAGACCGCAGCAACCCAGCCACGGCCCCGAGACGGTTCGATCAGAGTCTCGCCAATAATGGCCACCAAACCGTCAGCGCATCCCAGCCAGTTGTCACGGGCGGGAATGAAGTACGGTTCGGCGACCACAGCCACGTGAATCGACCACTCTGCCAAGCTCTGGAGTAGGAGATCCTGAGCTCTGGCACAGTGGTTGATGTTGCCCTGGAGAAAATGGAACTTTGCCATTATTGGCATTCCATTTCCTTCTCAACGGTCCTGGGCCGGGAGTCGCCCGCGGAGCTACTGGCCTGTGTGGGCAGCGAGGTTAACTCGGCAGGCTTGGTGCTCCTCTTCTCTTCTTTTTTGGCCTTGGACTTGCTGGTAGGCGCCCCACAGGCCCCTCCGCCTACTCTGTGCTCCGCTGGCCTTCCCGCAGCAGAGCAAAGGCTGCAGTTGAACGCCGCGGTGCACAGGGCCGCCTTGTGGCCAGGCTGGCCGCAGCGGTAACAAAGGTCACTGCGGTCAACCTCGGCGGTGCACTTCGCCCGGACGTGCCCTTTTTCAAGGCACCGGAAGCACTGCAAAGCCCGGGGCTGTAGCAGCTTCGTCCTTGCCGCCACCCAGCCTACCAGCAATCTGCCGCTATCGGCAACCTTCTTTGCCGCCGCTACAGGGCACCGAACCCAGACCGCGCCAAGTCCGGTGGCATCGGTGCGTATATCGCCGGCCCGCACCTTGTCCGGCGGACACTCTCCGCTTCTGGCAACGGCCGCCACCACCTCCTCAGATGTCACGGAGTCGTCCAGGCCAGCAATCCGCAATTCTGCGGTTTTCATTGGTCTGGAGACCCGGACGTCCTCAGGGTTGAGGACCTCTCTCATCTTGGCGGCCAATGCGTCCGCCTTTTCGGCACTGTCGCTCACAGTGCCAGCCACCTCGAACAGCCGCGCACCCGTGGCAGCCTGCCTGAGGGTGACGGACTGAAGGCCAAGATCTGATAATTTAATCTTGGCCTTGGCCTCAGCGATGACCGACTGGTACGTCACGCCACGCTCCACAGCTCCGGGCTGCAATGTTATTGTCACCGCATTGGACCGCGGAACACGTACAGCCGATTTCTTGCGACCGCCTTTGGCAGTCCGACGCTCAGGTTGAGGAGCCGTCTTTTGCGGTTCCACCTGGGGCATGTGCAGCTGCTGCGGCCTTCTTGGCGGCTTTGCGGGCCTTCTTGCGGCCCACGACTTTCGCCCATGTCTCACCCTTAGACCCGGCTGTCGTGGGCTGGTCGCTCGGAGGAGCTCCCTCCGCGGGCTTTATTTTACCCTCCATGGGCTTCCCCTTTTGAGGCGCAAGTCTCGGCGGCTCCTCAGTTCTCCGCGTGTCAGCTGCCAAAGGCGGACGTAGGGTTTCCGCCGGGAGACGCCGAGAAATCGCCTCCAGCCGAGCGTTAACCATGCTCCCGCACTGGAGCATGCAGAGCCGGACAATGCGCTCGACCTCTTCGTCGGTACGAGGGCTTGTCGGTCGCGGTGCGGGAGTCGGGGCCACTACAGATGCGGCATCGGTGGATGTGCATCTCTGCTGCTGCTCGCTCAGTGCCGCGACTTGCTGCCGGAGGTCCTCTAGATCATTTCTGAGGCGGCTATTTTCCTCCTGTAGTTTGGCGACCTCGTCAGAGGCCGTCCTGTTGAGGAGAATGCCAACCGCCTCCCTGATGTCCGCGGCAGCCTCTTTTTAAGCCACGGGTGAACGTGCCCTTCAGGCTGCCAGACTTGGTGGCAACCTTCAGGACTAAGTCCACCCCATCCAGAGCCAGCTGGCTCAAGGCCACCGCAGATGGCTCTCCTTTTTCCGCCGCCAGAGCAGCTCGTCGTTCGCGAGCACGTCGGGCCATTTCAGACACTTCGTCTGCTGCGACGGCTTTGCGCTGTTCCCTCTTGGCGGCGTTGAGCTCCCCCTTTGAACTCCCCAGCGAGGCACAGCTTTCGCCGCCATCGCCAGGGTCCTCCGTAGTGACCCCCATGTCACTCTCTGCTTCACTAGCCGCCGAGGTATTGGAGCACACGAATCGTCCGTGCTTATCCCTTCGCGGCTGCGAAGCATTTACCCCTCTCGATGCCTGCCGACCCCTCCTCGAAGTCGCCAACTTGGGGGCTGGCAGGCCTTCCTCGTCCGAAGACCGGCACACTGGACGTTTCCTGGCGGAAGACGTCCCACGCGATCTGTCCACGTCTGATTCATCCTTTTTTCCTACGTCTACATTTTTTAAAGTTTTATTCATTTTTTTTTCCCACGAGTGTGGAGGAAGTAACGGTCCGTCCGAGCAGAGCCCCCTTTGCCCGGATAAGCCTATGCATAACCCGTCAAGGGTGTCGGCCGGTACCCTGACGGGGGGCAACGCTAACGACTGAACATTTACCCATCAGCCATGCAGCTCCTCACGGCGTGCCACGCTTGAGCTTCGGGTGATTTTTTATAGAGGTTATCATCCTCGCGACTCCAGGCGGTTAAGCCAAGAGCCCTCGGCCCCTCAGGCGCCGCGAGACATGATCCACGACACGCCAAAGGGATTCCGAGGTTCGAACAGTGGCAGAGTCGATACGGGTTCTTCCCATGCCTGCCCAGAGACCGGGTGAGGGAACTCTGAGCCCATTCTATTCCCGCGATGACGGGTTGCCCGGCGTCGGCAAAAGCCGAGTGCACCTGGCATCTCACCGCGCATGTCACATCCTCTGTTCCTCTCAGTGGAGAGGATACGGGAAGCAACTAGCAGGTACTTGATTCCATTCGGAACCAGAGGTACGCCCCAAACCCAGCCAGTTTTGGTCCGCGACGGTTTCCCGCTACCACTCATATCTGAGTGGCATTCCCCTATCCGCCACCTGGGGACGCGCCCGATGGGAGGACTGGCAACTCCACACGGGGACCTAACCTAACCTAACCTAACCTAACCTAACCTAACCTAACCTAACCTAACCTAACCTAACCTAACCTAACCTAACCTAACCTAACCTAACCTAACCTAACCTAACCTAACCTAACCTAACCTAACCTAAGCCAGTTGCACTCCAAACGCCGTGCCGTACGCAGCAATTTTATATCGCTCCGCGCTCGAAAATTCCAAGTGTTGGGTCAAAGTGCACCAATTTTAAAGATTTATATACCTTTTGACGCGTCTGGACGAGACGAATACAGTGATATACTAAAAAAGTGAGTGTAATATTTAAAAAGTTATCACCAAAAAACAGATTTTCATAACCTCCAAAACTTTTATAGTGTAACGCTGCTCGATTTAGATGGAAGACCTATAGTTTTTATAGTGTGAAAAGACGCGCCCTGATAAGCTTAAGAGATTAGGCTAAACAGAAAAAATTTTCGACGCCAGCGCACCGAAATATTGGGGAAAAACCAAAACCACGTGGACACGTGCTTTTGGATAGGAGGCCGTGCGGCTAATTTTGACATTGGCATATTGAAGAGGACATCAAGCCAAAACGTTTGACACCTCGATTGTCAAAATCGGACAGGAAACACAGAAGATATAACACAGAGAATAACAAAATTTCAGTTGAAAATTTCACACGTGAATTTATCTGAAATTTCAGCGACGACATATGTGTTTCTTGTGCTCAGTCGGATATGCAATCCAAGACCTAACAAAGGACATCAAAAACTAAATTTTTGGAGTGTAAATAGAAAAGTAAGGAAATTTTTTTATTATTAAGTGTAAACACGTGGTGTCCTGAAAGTGCTGCTGAAAATTCTGAAAAAATTCCATAAAATAAGGCATACTTAATATTAGCTTCCAAATTTTTTTCAAAATTTTCCCTTTAATATTTTTCGAATTAGACGCTTTTTGCGGTTGTTGGTAATTGTTAATTGATTTTCAAAATTAAAAAAACTTAAAAAATTTTAATAACAAAAAATTTTTCTAAATTAAGTGTATGATAGACAATTTACTTAGCTATCTGCACTATTTTTTTCGGAATTTTTGAGGCAGCGCTTTCAGAGATAGGAATTTATTTGTTAGAGCTAGGAGATCCTGAAAACTGCACGATAACTGTGTTTTCAGTTTACGGGAAAACGGAGCCTCCTAGCTCAATTCTGACGAAATTTTCCTTCGCCCCCCCCCCCCCCCCGTCATCCCCCCCACACTATCCAGAAGCCGGATAGTCTTCGACCCCCACCGGATCATTTGGTGTGATTTTCAACCCCCCTACCCCTAAGTTGACTCCTGGACTTAGTCTCTGGGGGTTGAAAAACTTAAAATCGTCATAGCAAGCTAACTAGTGCTCCGATTCGGACCGGGTCTTTTGCAAAAAATAATACAATAAAAGAGCTAACAAATTTTGGGGGGGAGGACTCTATGTAGAGCACTTAAAATATAATTGTTTTTTTTTTTTGTGGTTTTTGTTCTCTGTATTTTATTAATATTAATCTTTAGAAATTAAGTTACCTAACACGGCTTAACTGTGAAATACATAGAGTGGGATTGAGATAGAGACGACTCTACGTAGAGAGAAGTAAACTTTTAAGATAATTATTTTAAAATATTCCTAACATTTTTAAATTGAAATATATAATAAGACCAGACTCTAGGTAGAGCCATTTTACTTTATTTTATTTTCTTTTATTTTTCTTTTATTTTATTGTGCGCTTGTTTTCCCACTCTATTTTCATTTACATTAGTTTTTATAAAGATACTCTACATAGAGTCATACATAGATCAAATACCTTTATATTATTGTTTAATAAAAATAATTTGGTAGAGCTGGACTCTACCTTATTTTACTTTTGACTAGTTTTTATTCCATAGGTGACACAGACCCCCCTTTACAGGGTCTAACAAATATTTTACACACAGACCCCCCCTTTACAGGGTTTTACACAAGGACAACGTTCCCCGATCCATACATAACTTACATTATACACCGCACTCATACACATTCACACAGAAAACATGTATCGCACACCCACGACCTCTGGCGCTGCCAAAAACCCCACCACCCCCAGCCCTACCACCACAACCGCAGCGGCACAGGACGCTGCCAGGACCTTTATTAAAAGAAGATCGCTCGACAACATGGACATCTACAAAAAGCAGAAACATAATTACGCTGCATTGTCGAGCGATCAGCTCCTCCAGGAAATGATGAAAACCTTTGAGGATATACCCTCAAAGGTCCAGGAGTACCCTCAGATGAGGAAAGATATTAAGCATTTCCTGGAGGTGCAGTCAGACAAGGGTATAAGAACAATCTTCGAGCTCAGCAGACGAATACAAAGTCTCGAAGCACAGGCCACAAAAACAGGATCACCAATAAAAACCTTGTCATCCGAAGGGCATGATACTATCATTAGGAAACTGGGAGAGGTGGAAGCGACGCTGACAGGGCGTATAAACGAGTTGGAGCAAATTCAAAAAACAGACATAGAGGGACTCCATAACAGTAACGACGACCGAGGCTCTGACATGATCGACAAGATCACCGATAGGATCGATGAAACCAGGGCTGCCATAGACGAAACGACCGAGAAGGTCGAGAGTCGAACGCACGCCCTGATTAAAGATCTGATCGGTGGTATTGCCGATGATGTCATCGCAGCCAAAAAAGATCTTTTGGAGGTCACAAAAGGACTGGCATGCGAAATAAACACAGCACCAGTCCTTAAGTCATACGCCAGCGTCGCAGCAGCCAAACCCGTCCACCGCCCTGCACTTCACTCGATGGCGGTCACCTTCGAAAGTGGTCTGGAGACTGCTGACGAGGTGCTCGCCAGGGTGAAAAGGGCGGTCCATGCCAGAGGCACAGGCCTCAAAATTAGCAGAGTTAGAAAGGCAAAGAACCAAACGGTTATATTAGGCTGCGATACTGAGGAGGAAAGGAAGAAAGTCCAGGAAATGATAGAGAGTCGCGGAGATGGACTGATAGTAGCGCCCATGAAAAACAAAAACCCTCTCGTCATCTTGAAAGATGTGTTTGTGGATAGCGAAGACGATGAAATAATCAAGGCGCTCCACGCTCAGAACAAAGACATCTTTGTGGGCCTACCTGAAGGGGAAATGGAAATGGTGATAAAATATAAAAAACGCACAAGAAATTTCAAAACAGTACATATCATTCTGCAGGTAAAGCCCAATGTATGGCAGAGGATGACGGAGGCTGGAGCCCTCTATCTGGACCTTCAAAGGGTCAGAGTCGAGGACCAGTCCCCGCTCATCCAATGCACGAAGTGTCTTGCGTTCGGACATGGTCGGAAATTTTGCACCGAGAGTGTGGACAGATGTAGTCACTGTGGAGGACCGCACCTGCGCGAGAAATGCGCAGATTTTACAGCAGGAAATGAACCGCAGTGCTGCAACTGCTCACACTCTGGATTGCGGAAAACCGACCATAACGCGTTCAGTGCCGAGTGCCCAGTACGGAAAAAGTGGGACTACTTGGCTCGTACAAACACGGCCTATGCATAATTCACAAGCAGGTAAATACACGACACGCACACATAAATACAAAAGCACACAAAAACATAAACACGACACACGCAAACATGTAATACATAACAACGATAACAAACTGATATACAGAAGGTATATTGAATATACACGAATATATCAGCACAAAAACACCTACACGAAACACAAACAGTAACTCAAAACAAAGGAAAAATTAATATGAAATGAAAACTGGTAAAGAAATAGTCAATAAATATGTATAAACTTAGTATATATATGTATTGGCTAGGCAAAAGTATGCTTAAAAATACATACGGAAGTACAAAATCCGACACAACAGGACAGAAAACACCTATCCTGCAATATGCACAATTAATAAGATCTTGCAAAATTATTAAACGCAACGTAGTAACTAAATAAATAAAAGCACTAATTGTTGTACAAAATAGATATAAGAATAGTATTAAGGAAAAGCGAATCGAAGAATTTTAGAAATAAGATGATAAGTAAGTAGGTTTATATCGAAGTAAGATTTATAGATGTAAGATAGAACTAAGAAACAAGAAATGTGAAAATTCTAGAAATATAATGATAAATACAATAGTGAAAAGAACCTATGTAAGTTAAATAAAGTGTTAAAATAAGGAAGATGTAAATTAAAATAAGAATAAGTACGTTGAATCTGTAAGGTTAGGTATTATATGTAAGCATAAATATTAGTGTAAACAAAACAGAAATTAAAATAAAATTGTGAGAACCTTTATTTTCCCAAATAAGAGAAAGGAATAAATAAATATAAGCATAGAGTAGCGGGAGTCCCACCCGGCAAAGAATGAGCGTGGATGGATATAAGAAAGAACAAGTATGCGGCCTGAAAGAGTGAATACATGCGAGAACTAGAATGTATGAGTAATATAGATAAATAAGGACCCGGTGATCTCATGATCGGGGAAAAACGATAAAAAAAAACAAAAAAAAAAAAAAAAAAAAAAAAAAACCTAACCTAACCTAACCTAACCTAACCTAACCTAACCTAACCTAACCTAACCTAACCTAACCTAACCAAGTTGCGCTCTAAACGCTGCCCCGTACGCAGTACTTTTGAACCGCGCCGCGATTGAAAATCAAAGTCATAGGTCAAAGTTAACCGATATTCAAGTGCTATACACCAAAATACGCGTGTTACTGAGACGAATATAGTGACAGTTTTGGAAATGTGAAAAGTGCGGAAATCGCGAAATTATTAAGGAAAAACAAATTTTTCCTAACCTAAAAAACTTTAATGTTAAACGCTGCCGAAACAAGATCTATGACATAGCAGTTTATTACTGTCAAAAGAAGCGCCATCGCAGGCTTCATCATCAGCGACCTTCACTGGATTTTTCTGACATCTGTGCGTGGAAATATCGCCAGAAAAACAAAACCACGTGGACACGTGTTCCCAGAACAACGTGTCTGCGGCTGATTTTGACAACGTGGTTATAAAGAGCGTACCAAAACAAAACGTCTGACACCTCGAACTCGAAAATCTGACGAGAAACCGAGGAGATATAGAGCTTCAAACATACGGAGTTATAACCGAAAATTTCAAAACTGAAAAACTCAAAATTTTCAGCGAGGACCACAAGATTTTCAGTCGATATATAAAAGAAGACTTTAGGACCTACGCATCGACTGAAAAATTTCAGTATTTGGAGCGCATATATTTAAATTAAGTAAGATTTTATTTTATATATAAACACGTGTTAGGCTGAAACCATCCCTGAAAATTCTGAAAAAATTTGGGAAAAACAGCTAGGGTTAAATAAGATATGTCAAATTTTTTTCAAAATTTTTTTTGCCAAAATTACTTGAGTAATAAGCTATTTGCGGTTTTTGGTAATGGGTTTATGATTTTCAAAATTTTAAAACACAAAAAAATTTCAGTACACAAATTTTAATTACTATATATCCCGAAGGAAAATTTTATCCTTAATATTACACAAATTTTTTAAAAATTTTTGACCCATTAGTTTTGGATATATTATTTTAAGTTAAAGAGCTGGGAGGTCCTGAAAACTCCGTTTTAACTGTGTTTTCAGTTTACGGGAGAACGGAGCCTCCTAGCTCAATTCTGACAAAATTTTCCTTCGCCCCCCCCCCCCGACACCCCCTCCCCTATCACTATCCAGCTAACGGATAGTCTTCGACCCCCACCGGATCATTTGGACATAGTTTCAACCCCCTACCCCAAAGTCGACTGCTGGACTTAGTCTCTGGGGGATGATAATCTTAAATTAGTTATAACTCACCAATTATTGTACTGATCCGAACGGGGTTTTTTCCTAAATTATTTACATCTGTACATCTGCACATCTGTAGATCTTTCAGCCTACACGTAGACAGACTCTACATAGAGTCTTTAAAAAATTTTTTACTTTTATAAACTGAACAAAAACCTAACTAGGAATATTATTAGAGTAAGATAATTTAGATTTATATAGTAAGTAAGACAAAAGGGACGACTCTTGGTAGAGCTAAGCGGATTTCCAGACAATTTATACAACTTTTACAATTTTCAATTTTTAGGTTAATAAATTATTAAATGTGTATTTTATAAAATAATAACTGGAAATATGAGAATTTCTGAGTAGAGCAAGTAGCATTTAAGATTATAGAGATAAAGACAACTCTAGTTAGAGTCAAATATAGACGATAAAAGTTGAAGTTTTTAAAGAAATATTTACATTGTATTGTAAGTAAATAAGAACGAAAGTAGAGTCGCGACTCTACATAGAGGAAAAAAAAAAAAATTGTGACGCGAAATTTGTGTTTCCTCATTGACTGGAAAAACTTGCAATATTTGCCTTGATTATACGTTTTTATAACTTTTACAAACTTGAAATTTTATTTGACTCATTGATTTGAAAAATTTGCAATATTTGCCTTGATTATACATTTTTATAACTTTTACAAACTTAAAATTTTTCTTATTATTTAATTTATTACTATTTATTTTATTTTATCGTCTTATTGGGCGCATATTAATCAAAATTAGTTTAAGTATTGACAAAGCCCTCTGAATCTAAATAAAATGTACAAAACACCCCCGCAAAATAAGTCTGCAGCTTCGACGGAGGACTTTAATAAGAGGACCGAAAAACCAGTACCCACGGGTGGGAAAGACAAAGGGTCAACATCTTCGGTAAGGAAAAGCATTGGTGAGCTGGAATCACGTCTTGGCGCTGCACCAAAAAACATTATAGCTACACTGCCGACGAAGCAAAATACAAAAACTCCTACTGCAAATGGGGGTGATGACAACCAAGTGGATAGAGAAACGACCCAGTACTCAAATAGAGCACAAGAAGCAAAAGCACACTTGGTAAGAATAAAATTACTATTAAATAGTTCACGTAACTTAAAGAACGAAATAAAAGACGGCATAATAGAAGCTGCAGACAAATTATATGGTATGACAAAAAATATGGAACAAGGAAAAGGACAAAGCATTGAAAAGGAAAAATCAGGTATAGGGAAGTGTCATGAACTGGAGCACGAATTAATAAGAAAATTAGAACAACATACCGAATTCCTATCCGAATGCAGAACAGAGACCCAACGCTTGAGTGAAGAGGTGAAAAAACACAGGGAGGAGCTCATCACCTATGCAAGTGTTACAGCAACCAGAAGGCAGCCCCAGGAGTCTATCTCGACCGTTCTTAAAAATACTATGAGTATACCCGCTCAAATGCACTCTATCATAGTCACGTCAAGCAATGAAAAGGACACGAGTGGCGAAGTCCTGGAAAAGATAAGAGTGGCAGTAAATGCAAAAGAAAGCGGGTTAAGGGTAGAGAAAGTAAGGAAAGCTAAAGACCAAAAGGTGATCGTGGGTTGTGGAACCAGGGAAGACATGGAAAAGGTAGCAAGCCGACTCAAAGCCTGTGATGCCGAGCTTACTGTTGTGGAGGCCAAAAGCAAAGATCCACTGGTCATACTGAGGGATGTATTACTGATCAACACCGACGAGGACGTAATCGCTGCTATTAGGAACCAGAACAAGAACTTGCTGGAAACTCTGAATAGCGAGGAGGTAAGATTGGTAGTACGATTCCGAAAAAAGACCAGAAACCCCCACACAAACCATGTGATCCTTCAGGTCTCCCCAGCGGTATGGAAAAGACTGGTTGAGGTGGCTCGTCTGCACGTAGACCTACAACGTATTGTGGTGACTGACCATTCACCACTGGTACAATGCTCCAGGTGCCTCGCGTATGGTCATGGCAAAAGGCACTGCAAGGAAGCAGAGGACATATGTTCTCATTGCGGAGGACCCCATTTGAAGACCTCATGTAATGCTTTCTTGGCCGGGGAGGTGCCTTCATGTAGTAACTGCATCAAAGCGAAGATGGACCGTCAAGATCACAACGCTTTTAGCAATGAATGCCCTATACGCAGAAGATGGGATGCAATAGCCAGAAATAGCGTAGCATATTGCTAAGGTGGAGTTCAGAAATGGGGGCACAGAGACAGAAAGTTGGTCCTTAGCAGAAAAAAGAAAAATTTTAGTGGCACAAGCAAACTTACAGAGGAAAGAGCTAGCAACGAGCGAGCTAATGCTCGAAGCGAGCAAGAGAGGTATGAGCTTTGCCCTAATTCAGGAACCGTACGTGGGAAGAGTCGGATATATGAAAGACTATCGGGGAGTACGTATATTCCAGAGCGCCAAGAGAGGTGAAGGAGTGGTGAAAGCGGCAATAGCCGTTTTTGATGAAAACGTCTATGTTACTCAATGTCCGACTCTCACTACGAATAACATCGTGGTTGTTAAGATACAAATGAACTCCCAGGAGATAGGACTGATTTCTCTGTACTTGGAACCGGATTCACTCATCGAACCTTACATTTGCCAACTTAAAGAAATAATGATAAAAATGGGTAAAACGGAAGTACTAATAGGAGGAGATACAAATGCGTGGAGCCCATGGTGGGGAAGTGCGAAGGAAGACGGACGCGGACAAGCGCTTGCAGGTGCGCTTGATGAGCTCGGTTTACACGTACTAAATGAGGGAGATCTGCCAACATTTGACACAATCAGAGGCGGCAAAAGATTCAGTAGTCACGTTGACATTACAGTGTGCTCTGAAAATCTTTTAAAATTGGTGGATGACTGGAAGTTAAACGAGGGCATAACAAGTTCGGACCACAACACAATACTATTCAAAATTAAAAGCATAAAATCTTCTGGAAAAATAATTAAACGGACAACAAGGATATACAATAGCAAAAATGCAAAATGGAGTCAGTTTCATGAGAAACTGACTCCATTTTGCATTTTTTATATTTGAGTGTATTGCAATTATTGAGTGAAAGAAAAATTACCAAAATAAAAATAGACAGTATAAGAAATAGCATAGATTTAGAAAAACATTTAGAGCAATATTTAAACGTAGTAAAAGAAGCATGCGATGCTACAATTCCAAAAAAGAAAAATCAAACAAAACTTACCTTGCCGTGGTGGAATGATGAGCTTGCTCTACTAAAGAAGGATGTCACCACCAAAAAGCGCCGAATAAGATGTGCTGCTCCCGTGCGGAGAGCCGATGTTGTTGCAGCGTACCTGGAAGCGAAAAACACATATGAACATGAATCAAAAAAAGGCTCAGGTAAAAAGTTGGAAGGAGTTCTGCAGTAGACAGGACAGAGAAGGTTTGTGGGATGGGATATATCGTGTTATCGGCAGAACTACAAAAAGGCACGAAGACCTGCCTCTTTTGAAAGACGGGAAAATACTCGATAACACGGAATCAGCAAAAATGTTGGCTGAGACCTTTTATCCGGAAGACCTAATTGAGGCTGATAACGCAGAACACCAGCGTATCAGGCACTTAGCAGAAAAAGTTAATGAAGGGGCACAAGATAATTCTTGTGACCCACCATTTACAGTCGCTGAACTAAAACACGCAACCAACAGCTTCAACCCAAAAAAGGCACCGGGTGGGGACGGATTCACTGCCGATATTTGCCGTCAAGTTATCCTCCATAATCCTGAGCTGTACCTGAGCCTAGCTAATAAATGTTTAGAGTTAGGGCACTTTCCCACTGTGTGGAAAGTAGCAGTAGTCGTGGTTCTGAGAAAACCGGCGAAAGAGGACTATACGCACCCCAAAGCCTATAGACCGATAGGCTTGCTATCAATTATGGGCAAAATCCTGGAGAAAATGACTATCAGGAGAATAAAGTGGCACATTCAACCTGGGGTGAGTAGTCACCAATACGGCTTCACGCCACAGAAAAGCACCGAAGATTCCCTCTATGACATGATGGAGTATATACAAACAAAATTACGAAATAAAAAGATAATTACCATGGTATCACTTGACATAGAGGGAGCCTTCGATAGTGCATGGTGGCCGGCCATTAGATGTCGATTGGCTGAGGAAAAATGCCCCATTAACATACGACGGTTGATGGATAGTTATCTCCAGGATAGAAAAATTAACATCAGGTATGCTGGTGTAGAGCACCATCGGGCTACTTCAAAGGGGTGCGTACAAGGTTCCATAGGGGGACCGATACTGTGGAATTTGCTTCTAGACCCACTTCTCAAGGAGTTGGAGGCGAGGGGTGACCGGTGTCAGGCTTTTGCTGACGATATTGTCCTGCTGTTTGCGGGGGACACGGCACTCGAGATTCAGAGGCGTGCAAATGCCGCTCTGGAGCATGTTCGGATGTGGGGAATTCGTAATAAACTGAACTTTGCGCCACAAAAGACCAAGGCTATGGTATTAACCAATAAGTTAAAATACGATTCACCACGTCTGAGCATGGGCGGGATAGACATTGGCATGTCAGAGGAGATCAAAGTGCTTGGTCTTATCGTAGACAGGAAGCTCACATTTAAAAGTCACGTAAGAAATGTGTGCGGGAAGGCCACAGCGCTCTACTCACAACTATCGAGGGCTGCTAAAATCAGTTGGGGTCTTCAACCAGAAATCGTAAGGACGATTTACGTCGCAGTTGTGGAACCGGTGGTACTGTATGCGGCGAGCGTATGGGCGCCGGCTGTTAGCAAACTTGGGATCCGAAAGCTTCTTAACACCGTGCAAAGAGGATTCGCTCAGAAAATTATTAAAGCATACCGAACCGTGTCTCTACACTCGGCTCTAGCACTGGCAGGCTTGCTTCCTCTGGACCTAAGAGTCCAGGAAGTAGCATCCCTCTTTGAAGCGAAGAGAGGAAAGCTCCAGTCAGTGCTGGGGGACCGGGAGGTGGAGACAAGGGCGAAACTTGTGGAATTGCCCCACCCAGCATCTTATATGGACCTGGAATTCATATGCCTGGTAGACGAGAACGAAATAACACTCAATAACACACAGAGTCTCCGAATTTTCACCGACGGGAGCAAAATAGAGGGAAAGGTCGGAGCAGCACTTTCTATATGGAATAGTGAAGCCGAGATCAGAACTCTAAAGCTTAAACTGTCGGACTATTGTACCGTGTATCAGGCAGAATTACTGGCCGTATACAGGGCAACTGAGCAAATCCTCAACAGCGCTGAAGTAAGTTTTGGAGTTTACAGTGACTCGAGATCAGCTCTCGAGACCATTGTAAACCACGACTCTCAACATTCCCTAGCAGTAAAGACCCGCAAAAATATAAAAACCATCGTGGAGCAACAAAAAAAGCATTCAACTTTTTTGGATTAAAGCCCATGCGGGTCTGGCAGGGAATGAACGAGCTGACGAATTGGCTAAGCTCGCCGCACTGCGGAAAAAAGGTAAACTGGATTATGACCAGTGCCCGGTCTCCTACGTAAAGCGTCTCATCCGAGAAGAATCCATAGAAAAATGGAACCAAAGGTACGAAGAGAGTGAAACAGGTCAAATCACGAAGAAATTCCTCCCAAGTGTCAAAGACGCCTATAAGGTGACCAGGGCGACGGCACTGTCTCCGGTAATGATCCAAGCGATGACTGGGCATGGTGGTTTCTCCGAGTATCTGTACCGATTCCGATGCAAGGAGAATCCTTCATGCGTCTGTGAGCCAGGAGTGGAAGAGACAGTGCTGCACGTAGTTCTAGAATGTCCTAGGTTTGGAAAACAAAGGCACGATTTTGAGGCGTTAACTGGAGAAAGACTCGAAGAAGCCAAATTACATACATTGTTGGGTAATAAAACGACTCGAAACAAATTTATTAAATTCTGCGAAGGATTAATCAATAGGGTCGTTAAAAATAACAGAAATTAAAATAATATATTTAAAAAAAAAAAAAATTATTTTGGAGTTTTTTTTTATACCGTAACTATTAAATACAAGAAGCTACTTATTATTTTAATATTAGTTTAATTTTGATTGTCTAAGTTCATTAAAATAAATTTAAGGCAAGAATTGCAAATGCAAGATAGCCACTCGGGGCTTCCTTGTGAATATAGAAAATATATTCAGAGAGAATGAACCGCTTTAAATGTAAAAATGATCATGTAAGGAAAGTGTGTTGCTCAAACAAAAACAGATAATGTACCTTAAGATAATTTTAAATTGAGTAATTAGTTAAGTGACAAAGGTATGTAAAAGGACTTTAAAATTAAAAATTAAATGACAAATTTTGTGTGCATTAGGTTAAGAGTAGTAGGACTCCCGAACGAAAACCCGGAGTCCTCTACACCCTATACAATAGCAAGGACAAGGAAATAAAAAACAAGTAATTAAAGTCCGTGTCAAGCTGACAATGTCTCTGACCCTCTATGTCAGAGGAAAAAAGCACCACATACAAAAAAAAAAACCTAACATAACCTAACCTAACCTAACCTAACCTAACCTAACCTAACCTAACCTAACCTAACCTAACCTAACCTAACCTAACCTAACCAGGATGCCAGGATGTTCTTTAATAACGCCATTTTTTCCCACATAGGGTTCCTGTACTATGACAATCGACACTCCTTTATTCGATGCAACCTGAAGTAGTTCCGCCGTTGCTACCCTGGAGCGTTGCAAGTTCACCTGAATGATTTTGAGGTCTGACCTACTAATGTTGGAGTTTATATTATTTTAGTTGCCCTTAGCAGTAAGATATGCGGGACCGTGCTATTGCATCCCACTTCTGCTTTTCCCGGCAATCAAAGCTAAAAGCATTGTGTGCCAGGTCCGTATCGGCACCGTGCGCTTTGAGGCAATTTTTACATCGGGGGGGTCTCCCTCCAGTCTGACCGGGCATTTGTCCCATGAATGGGTCTCTCCGCAGTGACTGCAGAGTTCCTCCTTTTCATGGCACACTGCTTTTGTGTGGCCAAAACCGAGGCATTTTGTGCATTGCACAAGGGGAGAGTGATCCATTATTGGTCTTCTTTGGAGGCCGATGTAAATTTTACCCGCATCAATGAAGCGCCTGTGCACTTTTGGAGAGAGCTCAAGTACAGGATGGCACTCTTGTGGATTCCTCGCCTTTTTCCTGTATCGAACTCTGACTGTTCGTTCTTTCTCATCGACGTCATGCAGAAGGTGTTTGTTCTGCGCCAGTATATTTTCCACGATTTCGACGTCTGTGTGATACGATAGCACGTCCCTGATTATCGCCAAGGGATTGTTTGTTCTGGCAACCTCTACTTTTAAACTTTTATTTGTCTTAACTCTATTTTGGACAAGGTTAAGATCCTCCTTGGTGTTGCAACTGAGGACGACTTTTTGGTTTTTTGCCTTCCTTACCCTATCTACTTTGGCTCCAGTCTTTTTTGTGTCTAGAGCCTCCTGATTCTCTCGATGATATTTTCGGCTGTGTTTTTCGAATCAGTTGATGTGATAATGAGAGTGTGATTGGGTTTAGGAAGGGGAGGACTTGCAGCCACTCTGGCGTATGTCTTTTTTGGCTTTGTTGCTGCTTCGCCAGTTTGTGCAAGCTCTGTTGCTAGACTTGGGGCTGTAGGTGATGGGGCCCGTTGCTTCTGCTCTCTCATCGTCCTCAGCTCGGATGACATTGCACCTAAGTGTTCTTCTATTGGTTGAAGATGTTCCCTTATGCTGGTTTGGAATATTTTACCGGAGTCCGCTGAAGGTAAGATTGAAAGTCCAGATCTGATACTTGTATCTATCTCCTTCAGCGAACTCTTCATTCCATTCAGCTCATGTTCCAACGTTTTACTTATTTCCTCTGAGGGGTGGGATGGTGGTGACTCCAGGCGTAGCAGGGTTTTTTGGCCGGTCTCCAGAACCTTCTTGGTGTTGTTTTCGGACTTTTCGATGACTCTGCGCATTTCGTCCAATTGAAGTTTGAGTGTTTCCACACTAGATTTTACTCCAGTAAGGTCCACTCTTAGGTGAGATAAAATGTTGTCTGCACCTTCTTGCTTCTGCTGACTCAAGTTCGACTGAATCACACCTATGCGCTTGTCTAAGTCCGTCACAGCTTTGAGTAGGTCGCTCGTTTTGCGGAAGGGCTCTTGGGTTTCGAAGTTCAACCAACCCCGTATCGCCTTGGATTCCTGGAGGGTATTTTTTATATCTGTCCTGGCATGGCCTAGTTCGGAAGCCATTTCCTTCATAAGCTGGGTGATGATCTTGTTATGGGCGCGCTCCACTCGCATTACTTCTTGAGCGTTGCGTGAGCGTTCCCTTTCTAGATTACGCTTATGTCTAGATCTGGAATCTGACAGCGCCAGGACCATCTCGTAGAGGGACTGCAGACTCTCTAAAGCTGTTAACTTACACTCCCTCTTCATATTCCCTGCCATTTCTAGCGCTTCCTTCCCTCTCAGAAGCATTTCGTTCGCTTCTTTTGTTGCCATATCCATTTCCACCCCCAGTCGCCTGTTGGAGTTAAAAAGCAGGCTGGGTCTTCCTTTTTCCGGTGCCTCCGATAGTGGTGATTCTTCGCATCCTGGCACGCGAGTAGTTCAATGCAGCCTGAATAGACAAAAACCGGTAAAGGCCGCAGTGCTGATCTTCGGAGATCAGCTGGAGATTATCCATGATCCACAGCTGGTTACCGAAACAGAAGCGGCAGTACTTCTCGTTGCAGGAAATTTAAAACTGGGAGTCGTGTCAGTTTACCTCGAGGGAGAGCAAGATATAAATCCCTACCTTAGGCGAATCCAAGCAGCTTGCGCAAAACTTCACACAAACAACATCATAGTGGCTGGAGACATAAATGCTTGGAGCCAATGGTGGGGAAGTAATTCCGAAGATGAAAGAGGCGCGGCATATAACACCTTCCTCAATGAAATGGATCTCCATATTCTGAACATGGGTGACACGCCTACCTTCGAAACATACAGAAGGGGGAGAATTTGTTCGAGCATAGTAGACGTCACTGCTTGCAGTTCGTCACTTCTCGGCAATGTGGAGGACTGGAGAGTGGAGAGAAGCCTAATTACATCAGACCACAACGCGATTATGTTTACACTGCGCACCAAAGCGGTCTTGACGCAATTACGGCCCTGCACAACGTGCAAATACAACACCAGAAAGGCAAACTGGTCGGACTTCTCAACACGCTTTAGATCCCTTCTAAAAGAAAGAGCCATAACTCCCACACTAATTGAGGAGGCGGAAATCCATGACGATCTGGAATCCATCACAATAGCCTACACAAAAGCAATCCAGGAATCTTGTGATGAGACTATTCCGAAAATGGGCATGAGGGGGGTGAATGCAACGCCCCCATGGTGGTCAAAATCCCTCAACCAACTCAAAAAAGAAGTCCATAGGAAAAAAAAGACGTATTAGAAATGCGGCACCAAGTCGAAGACAACACGTAATAGACGAATACATAAGTTTTAAACAACAATACACCATAAAAGTTGAGGAGGCGCAAACCGAAAGCTGGAAGGAATTCTGCACGACACAGGAAAGGGAGAGCATGTGGGATAAAATTTATAGAGTTATCCGGAAATCCTCAAGAAGGTATGAGGACATGCTCCTAAGAAAAATCCAAGGGGAAACTCTGACACCAAAAGAGTCGGCAGAACTCTTGGCCCAAACATTTTACCCTGACGACTGTGTGGAAACAGATCAGCCATACCACACCAAAATACGAGAGCTGACGGAAATTAACAAAGACCTAGGTTTGTCAGAAGATGACCCACCTTTTGCAGAAGCGGAGCTTGAATCAGTGTTACAAACACTAAACCCCAAAAAGGCCCCTGGACCAGACGGGCTAACAGCTGACATCTGCTCCGCTGCAATAAACTGCAACAGGAAGGTATTCTTAGCGATAGCCAACAAGTGCTTGAAATTGGCGTACTTTCCCAAGCAGTGGAAAACTGCACATGTGGTCATCATCCGTAAGCCAGGAAAGGATGACTATACACATCCAAAGTCATACCGACCAATAGGTCTCCTGTCAGTACTCGGAAAAATAGTCGAGAAGTTGATGGTGGGCCGACTCCAGTGGTACATCCTCCCAACCCTTAATAAAAACCAGTATGGGTTCATGCCTCAACGTGGTACAGAGGACGCCCTCTATGATCTATTGAAATACATCAAAAACGAAGCGAGGAATAAGAAGATCGTCCTTGTTGTTTCATTAGATATAGAGGGAGCCTTTGACAACGCATGGTGGCCAGCATTAAAACTGCAACTAGCCAAAAAGAAATGTCCCAAAAACCTCTACGATATGGTTGGCTCTTACCTTCAAGATCGAAAAATCGTAATTAACTATGCCAGAGCAACGAGTGAGAGGGGAACTACGAAGGGGTGTGTTCAAGGATCTATCGGTGGACCAACCTTTTGGAATGTTATCCTAGACTCACTGCTGCACCAACTTACGAACGAAGGGGTGTATTATCAGGCATTTGCAGATGACGTCGTCTTGGTGTTCTCGAGTCACTCAACGAGTGCCCTGGAGCAACAGGCCAATGACACTCTAAAAAGAGTAAAGAAGTGGGGAACCCAGAACAAGCTAAAGTTTGCAGCGCATAAAACAAATGCAATGCTTGTCACTAAAAAACTTAAATTTGACCTCCCCAACCTGCAAATGTCCGGCAGCAGAGTAAACCTCGTAGAGGAAATTAAAGTACTCGGTCTCATCATTGACCGTGGACTCACCTTTAAACCGCATGTAGCAGCCGTATGCCAAAAAGCGGCTGACATATACAAACAGCTTGCATGCGCGGCCAAGGTGACCTGGGGTCTCAATGGTGAGATTGTAAGGACAATATACGTTGCAGTCGTCGAACCTATAGTGATGTACGCTTCGAGCGCGTGGTCCTCAGCAACAGAACTTCAGATGATCAAAGACCAACTAAACACGTTGCAAAGGGGCTTCGCGCAGAAGATCTGTAAAGCGTACCGCACGGTATCGCTCACTTCCGCGCTTGCCATCTCGGGTCTGCTTCCGTTAGACCTGAGAATAAAAGAAGCGTCCAGCTTGTACCAAACCAGGAAACAAGGCACACTGGACTATTTACCACCAGGAAGAGAGCTTGAAAACCGTGTAAATCACTTGGATCAACCTCATCCCTCTAAACTCGTCAAATTGGAATATGAGCTACTGGAAACAATCGGAAACACAAACCTCCACCAACTAACCGGCCCTCACATATACACCGATGGAAGTAAGATAGAAGGGAGGGTCGGAGCAGCTTTAACGTGGTGGGAAGATGGTAGGGAGATCAGTAATTCCACCTTTAGACTGGATCCATCCTGTACAGTCTTCCAATCCGAGCTCTATGCCTTGCTCAGGGCGACCAAACTAGCTGAATCGAGCACT